TACGAACCCTTTGTACGAACAAAAGTAAGAGAAATTTAGGATAAAAATACGAACATGTTCTTGCATGAGGCCCAATATCTCTGGCTCTTTACATTTAACATTATACTCTTTAGCTCTTTACCCTTATGAGGGTTCTTGAGGGGTCATGGGTGTTTGCCTATCCATTCTCCTTGTGTTTTGTGGACATGGAGAAGGCATGTGAGCGTCTACCTTGAGGTACACTGTGGGGGGTGCTACATGGGATTGTGGGTTTGTTGTTACGGTATATTCAGTCCTTAGCGGTGCAAGAGTTTGGTTCACATTGCCAGCAGAAAGTCAGACCTCTTCAGGGTGAGACTCCTCTGTTTTCACAGATTCTGTTCATAACTTACATGGACAGAATTTCTCGTTGTAGCCAGGGGGCGGAGGAAGTCCACTTCGGTGGCCTCAGGATTCCATCTCTGCTGTTTGCAGATGATGTAGTTCTGATTGGTGTAATATCTTCAGTTCTCACTGGAGCGGTTCGCAGCTGAGTGTGAAGTGGCTGGGATGAGGATCAGCACCTCAAAATCTGAGTCCATGGTACTCAGTCAGAAAAGGGTACTTTGCTCTCTCCAGGTTGGGGGTGAAGTKTTGCCTCAAGTGGAGGAGTTCAAGTAACTCTGGGTTTTGTTCATGAATGAAGGAAGAATGGAGTCTGAGATTTATAGATAGGTGCAGCATCTGCAGTTTTGCGGACTCTGTACCGGTCTGTTGTGGTGAAGAGGGAGATGAGATGTAAGAAGAAACACTCCCTCACCTATGGTCATCATGAAGTTTGGGTAATAGCCAAAAGATCAAGGTCGTGGATACAAGCGGTCGAACTGAGTTTTCTCTGCAGGGCATCTGGACTCTCTCTTAGAGACAGAGAGGCTGAGAAGTTCAGATGGATGGATGGATGGATGGATGGATGGATGGATGGATGGATGGATGGATGGATTGATATGGATGGATATGACATATCAGAAACCAGATGGACAGTTGTGAAGCTTATGCGTAATTTACTTCTACCCCATGAGCAACTTACTGCTAATATATTTGTAACTTAGATCAAATGTTTTCACAATATACAACCTATATTATACATAATGTTTTTAGGCTACTGTAGCACTTGGTAATGCTAAGGAGGTAATTCATCAATTTGAATCTGAAGCAATAAAACAGCTACAGCCCTTTCTGCTATTTAAGCCTGAAGTCCATTCTTGTTGTCTCTGTTTGATTTCTGACAGAACCAGAACTCTTTATTTCTGCAGCACTGGCTTCATTTAAAGCTTTGAGTGGTTTGACCAGTGGTTTACAAATATCTAGAAGTAATAATGAAAACTTTGACTTGCAGACATACTGCAGAACTGTTTGGTGAAAAGGTTGCAACTTGCCTCTAACTCAAGTTTGATACCAGGGAGGTCAGTAAAAAATAATGAACTAATAGAATGTGATCATTATTTTTGTTCTCAAACCTTCACTGTAAAATACATTTTGTTTTCAGTCATGGTAAAAGTGTCACTGTGGAGAGGATTGAGCAAAACACCCTAAAACATCCACCCATCCATAATCTATTCCTCCTTTTAGGGTCACAGGGGTCACTGGTGTCTATTTCCAGCACTGTGTGATTTAAGCACTGATTAATCTCCACAGACAGATTTATCTAGATTAGCTTTGTAGAGACCTAATAGAGTGCTRTGTGAATGAGTAAATGAGGACACAGATTGTCGTGTGAAGTGCTTTGGTTGGATAGAAAGGTGCTACATGAGTAGTCCATTTACCATTTCAGTGCCTTTTTAAGTTAAATATAGAAAGAAATACATTTTTKGGGGGGAGGTATGCTTTCTGTTCACAGAATTTCAAGTCAAATCTGTGTTTAAATCTGGGCATTTTTAAGACTTTTTAAGGCTAAATTTTGATTTTCAAATTTTAGACGTTTTTTAGACTTTTTAAGACCCGGCATGAACCCTGCTCTAGAGGGACCTTTCTGGGTGTTTACATGTTCTCCCTCTACATGAGTGGGTTTTCTCCAGGTACTCCAGTTTCCTCTCGCAGACCAAAGACATGCACCTTAGCTTCACTGGTACACAGTATACGCAGAGATGTCAAGCAACTAAGTACAAATACTTTGTTACTTTACATAAGTAGAAATTTTGGTTATTTATACTTAGAAAAATATGCGTTGTTCAAAATGGTATGTCCGCATAAACATGAATCAGCTGGATTTCTTCTTCTGACTCCAACCAGGTTCATACAGCACACTCTAAAAATGAAATGTTGGATTTACTTAACCATGTTATGTTGCCTGGTTCCACTTAACTGAGTTGAGTAAATTCAAAGCAACATATTCATGTTCTTTGGCTAAAAAACTGGTATATTGCTTTGAATTTACTCAACTCAGTTAAGTGGAACCAGGTAACATAACATGGTTAAGTAAATCCAACATTTCATTTTTTACAGTGCACAGGCCAAACCAAAACACAGCTGCCCTGCTTTGAAGCAGAGACTCTCCACAACTCTCTGACAACTTCTCTCTACTATAATAATGAATTGAGCTTATAATGTATATCTCTTCCTGGTTACACCCCAGGAGGTGTTACCTTTTACATCAGACATCAGAACGTCACTCATTTGTGTTTAGACTAAAGAAAGAACACATGATAACACACACCAACTCTTTATCTGCTTTAACTTACAGGCTGAAATGATCAGAAAGTATAAAATACAAAACCGAATCTAACATTCAATTAATCAGTTACAAAATTTCCTTCAGTTGGATGAAAAGTGTAAGTATAAACCATTCTGACATCCTGTTGGATTGAWCTCACTCCATCACAGCTGTATGACACAARTCACATCAYATTCCAGCAGGACAGACTGTAGCAGATGTAGCCTAGAATGTATATGATCTGGCTGAAACAACTAGTCTAGTCAGTTAATTCAAAATTTTTCAAAATTAACATTTTCATTTAACATTATACTCATTATTGGCTTTAGAAGAAAACTGGGGGGAGGGGGTATACGCTACAGCAGTGGTTCCCAAACTTTTCCGATTTTGACCCACAAAATACCAGCAGCAGAGACCTGTGCCCCCAGCTGYTGTTGGATGATAAACACTGTTTTCACATCAAATCAACAAGAGCATATAACATTATTTATTAYGCTATTTTTGTCCATTTTAAGTACACTAATGTTATTTTGTAAAAACAAAGGAAAAATGTTCTTAGTTGTCATTTTTTTGTGTAATTAATTGAAAAATTTTTCAGGACCCCACTTTGATGTTTCAGGACCCCACTGTGGGTCCCAACCCCAACTTTGGAACGCTGTGGCACAGCCTAAACTTTTATCCTTAATGGCTATTTTAAAGTGTTCATTACTTTTACTTTTATACTTTGAGTAGTTTTAAAACCAGTACTTTTATATTTTTACTTGAGTAAAAAGTTGAGTTGATACTTCTACTTCCAAAAAAATATTTTTAAGACCTAGTAACTATACTTCTACTGAAGTAATGAATGTGAATACTTTTGACACCTCTGACTATACATCTCAAACGAATGCTTGTTTCATAAATGTAAATATTTTGAACAAAAGTCAGTTTAAGTCGGCAGTTGAAAGTGAGCCAGTCTGTCTGGAACTCCTGGGACACTTTTTCTCCCCAGTCTGCCTCTGATTTGAACATTAAATGTAAAGTTATTGCACTGTATGTTGGTTTAATAAATATATATACTATACAAACATTTTAAATGGCAGTTTTTGGGTAAGTGTGCTGTGCTATGTGGCCCTCTGCATGTCAACAAAAAATTGTGGTCCCTTCCATCATTTAAATTGCTAAGCCCTACCTTAGAGATTAGATTAAATAACACTTACCTGAAAGAAATGATGTCCAACAGGTCCTGCGGTGTGTTCAGCGTGACCCTGATGTCCCGCCCTTCCTGTAGCTGGATGCTACCATCCTGGCTGGTGTAGCTCCTCAGCTCAGCGACCCATTCAACTGCAGCCTGACCCAGAACACTGTCAACCCCCATCCTAGCTGACAGGCCCACAAAAACACTGAGAACAAAGACACCAGTTCCACTGTGTTAGCCCAACAATGGTGGACCCAGATCAATAACTGAGACTGTAACCACTGTCACTATAGAGCGTAGCAGTACTCAGGTCTGATGTGTCCACTCAAGGAGAAGTGAGACATGTCCCTGTAGTTGAAGTTGCCCTTCAGATGCAGGGAAAGAAGGGAGGTCATGTTGATGCTCAGTTTGATGGGGACACCAGCCAGAGATGGTAAAAGCAGCTCCTCTGTCATCAGCACAGCCCTGTGGCTCAGCTGAACCTCGTGACCCTCGAGGAGAAGGAGGAAGGAAGGGAGGGAGAAGTCAAAGGGTGGGAGGTGATAAGCAATCAGGAGTCAGGACTGAACACGACAGCTGCTATCTTACCTTCAGCAGCTTCACAGCAAGTCCAGCCATGCTGAGTGACACCTGACTGACTCGATGGTGAATCTCATCACACGTAAACACGCTGAGCTCATTTCCAAACACCTTTACACTGACCCAGCACCTGGGCCTTTTTTCCTCCATTGTTGTCCTTCTTCCAGACAACTGCAAAAGCAAAATAAGAGAGACACATTACATCATCACCTGATGCTGATTCTAGTTGTGTACTTAATCACAAAGAAGCAAATGTTTTGCTAATATTCAATAAAAACAACAAACTATTCTTATCAGTTGATTAAGTCAGATACATGATTGTTTGCTGTGAGACAGATTCATGTCATTATCCTCTGGATTTTAAATAAACAAGTCAAACTTAAGCCACATACTTTCCTAAAACAGTTTCAAATTTAGGTAGCAGAGTAAAAAACGAGGCACAAAATATTATGTTGGGCAGCAAATATTAGAGCCAACCATGGCTGATAACTGCTGATCTCAGAGGAATTTCAGCTCATTTTCTCCAGGATGTTGATGGTTTTCTCATGTGACCTRCTCCCTTCAGGACCTTTCCCATTATTTCTGTTGGATTAAGGTCAGGATGCTGGTCACTGACTTGGCTATTCCACAACATTAACTTTATTCTGCTTTGACCATTCTTTGGTTGAATTACTTTTGTGCTTCAGGTCCTTGTCCTGCAGCATGACCCACTTTCTCTCCATGTAGTTCATTTAGTTTAAATAGATATCCTGATAGTTTCCTCCTGAAAATTCTGGCTTAGAAAAACAAGAGCACACAGACCTGGATACAGCATAATGAGACACAAATCAGGAACATCCATGATGTTACACACATGTTGTCAACACAATCTGCTGCTTCTTTAGATTGATTGTTTTATGTGTCTTCAGTGCCCTGAGATGAACATTGTTGTGACTTGGTGCTATATAAATAAACTGAATTGAATGGAATTGATACCATTGAAGTCTGAATCTGGGCATTCAGGGATTAGACCCTTGGATGTTTTTGAATAACCCAGAATCTCAAGACAGACAACATGTTAAAATGCTCTTCTATTCAAATCATGCAATAATTCAGCACGGTGGCTTAGTGGTTACAGCAAGAAGGTCTTGGTTTCGAACCCTGGTCTGAGAGTCTGGACCTGGGGTCTGTCTGTCTGAGTTTACATATTCTCCTCGTCTTTGCGAGTGTTTCCTCCCACAGTCTAAAAACATGATATCAGGCTGCCTTCAGGCCCAGGAGGGCCATGAAAAGCAAATCTGTGGTCTCATTGGGGTTTGTTTGGTTAAATAAAGGCAAACTGAATCAAATTTGATGTGTATGGGATATGGAAGAAAAAATGTGTGTCTGTCTGCTCAGAGGGGTTTGGTTCTAATAAACTGTGGCTGTGAGCATGTTCTTTATTTTTCATTGCATGGAAGGTGGCTGCTGTCATCTTGTCTTTAAACCATAGAGTCTTAATCCATAAACGAGACATGCTCAACACATTCTAATGCTACGTTCACACCGAACGAGTTTTGAGCTGCAGGAGCAGCTGGTTCACATGCAAAGTCTATGGTGGGCGCGCCTCTAGAGGTCCCGTAGCTCGTCAAGTTCATTTAGTGCGGCGCGCACGGAAGCGGAAGTTAGAGGTAGAGCGTTTTCCGTGCACGTGGCATGTCCAAAGCAGCCAACGCTCGAGTTCAAAATTTTAACTTTTGCTGCTCAACGTGCCGCGTCAGTCAATCAGAGAGACTCGTTTTTACACTTGACGGTTTCCTGAATGTCGCTCACTAACCTGAAACAAACAAACAGGAGCTCTTAAGCTGAAATCGACTGTCTGTAGTTGATTTTCTGGCTGGAGATATCAGCACCGATGTGCGTCAGCAGCTCGTTAAACTGACCGCGGTGTTAAACTGAGCTCGGAACAAAAAATAGTTTGTCAGTTCACAGTTTGTCAGTGATGAAACTCACTGAACAAAGCGCCTCTAAATTATCTGGTGAATTAATCATCTGGTGTGTGTAACGTTCGCTTGCTCTTTAGTAAATAAAGCAAAGCCCTTTTCTTTATTTTATCTTTATTTCATTCACTGTTGAGACAGACCAGAATAAAACCAAGATGCTCATTCCTCTTCAGACGCACGTTTAGTCTCTGTCCCCGATCTGAACGTAACACGTCCAACTTGAGGCGTTGGGCGCATTTTTGCTGCTCAAAATGCAATCGGTGTGAACGTAGCATAACATAAAATAGTAGAATTTTCAAATGACAAATATAGATGGAGGACAACAGAGCTATTCATGGACGAAGAACCCTTACCCTGTTAGCCTTCGCGCTAGCCCCGAACGGCAGATTTGGGAGACAGTCAGCTGGAGGTCACTAGTGTTGTAATCAAGACCACCTAACCCGAGACCAAGTCAAGACCAAGACCACAGTGTCTCGAGACCGAGACAAGACCAAGACTTTTAGGGTTTGGACCAAGTCGAGACAAAGACCGAAGGAGGGCGAGACCGAGACAAGACCAAGACCAGATTTAAAAAAAATGTTTCCTAAAAGATGGGGTATTCTGTACACATGTAAAGTGGAGGAAAAAGGTATTTTGTCTCTCATAGTTGAGGTCTAACTATGATGTCAATTACAAGCCTCTCTCATCTTTTTAACTTGAACAATTGGTGCTGACTAAATACTTTTTCCCCACTTTAGCTAACTTAATATGTAGAGCTAATATTCACAAAATCTTTGTGTGAGGGCAGAGGAAAGAATTTTGCAACAGAGGCAGATTGTTAACATTAGTGATGGTAAAAGTTTGACGTTGTCCCCATGTTTCTGAAAGTGAAGCACTGCCAAATTTACAAGTTGCTGTACGCTTTCTCCTGGTTGTTGTTGTTTTATAATGATATTATTTATGAATAATGTAGCCAAATTTTATACTTAAAATTTTGAAGACATCTTTTACCGCTCTCAGAGAACCACGGTTCACTTTCCGGGAGTGCTGTGTGCGAGTGACGGGGGCTGGGGATGGGTGACAGCCGGTAACAAAAACACAAATAGCAATGAGTCAGGTTTGGATTTGAATCAATAGCTACATTTTAAATCCAATGAAAGCAAGAATATATATACATATACAGTATATATAT